GAGGGGGGGGGGGTACAGGGAAAGATGGTCAAGGAAGGTAGGCAAGAGAACCAGGAGGTAGGGAGCAGGAGCAGAAATAAATGATGGAGAGCCAAGAGAGAAAGAGGTCATTCAGTTTGCTCCTGAAAAACAGATACCCACTGACAATCAGCAGCTAAACTAGATCCATTCTGTATCTCAGAGTCACACATCCAACTCACAGTGTAACAAAGTCACGGGGAGTGTATGTTTGTGTGGCATCTCTTCATTACTGCTCTGACTGAGCTAGGGTAACCATAGCAACTGGTGAGGAAGCTGTCCTTGGAGACAGGAGGTGGAGATTTGAGTGATGAGTGTGATGTTGTGCCTGTGCATGTGTGTTTGCGTACGAGAGTTTGGAAGTTTGAAAGCGAGTCTGTGTCTCTCTCTCGCTCATCTGTTACCTTTTTCTTTGAGAGTGCCATGGCTGTCACAGGTGATTTGTGCTGTGAGGAAGGAAGAAAAGCAAACTGAGAAACACGATTGGAAACGAGACAAAAGAAACTCATGTAGATAGACAGATACACAAAAAGACAGGGTCAACAAACATACTGAATTCATTTAAAAGGAAATAATGGAAATTGTTTGAAAAACCTTTGTGTGTGACTACAAACCACAACAATTTTAAACAAATTAAAATAATCTAGAGAGCTGATCTAACATCGTGCTAATCGCAAATTACTTGAAAGCGGTTTCACAAAGCACATACTTGAACAATGCAGAGTAGAAAAACCAAATCGTGGAATTCACATTAGGCTCATTAGTTTTGACAGAAAAAATAAAAATTATTTTTTACAGTCTGTCATGATAACTATGTGCAGGTGCTGTAATTTTTGTGCTAAATGCTATAATAACAAATGGTAAGGTATTGTCATCCTGTGCACAGCTGCAAACTTTTAGTTACGTGCACAAATTAAATAAAGAAGATCCTATGTGTAGACATCCTTGGTGTGCATTGGAATTTGTGTAACAGTACTGTATTCTTTACATTTACACACAAACACATTTGTACTTCTATCTTTGTGAGGACACTCATTGACATAATGCATTCCTGAGCCCCTTACCCTAACCTTAGTCATCAATACTAAATGCTTAACCCTAGCCCCTACCTTAACCTTTACCTAAACATAGTTCTAACCTGAAACCTAACGCCAAGTCTTAGCCTTCAAAAAGGTGAGGACTGGCCAAAATGTCCTCACTCTGTAGCATAAATTACCTTTTTGGTCATCACTATATAACATGTACAAGAACACACACTTCTATCTCTGTCTCTCTTCTGTCTTCTGTCTCTCTATGTGTGTGTGTGTGTGTGTGTCAAACCTCCTCTACAATAAACTGAGCATATGTTTACTTGCAAAATGTTAGATACAGATCTATTTCACTAAACAACAACGTGACATTAATTGCTGTCATTTTTTGTCCAAGTTTCATTATTGCTGCATGATTATGCTGCTTTAGATGCAAACTGATC